CCGGTCGGCCCAGGCGGGCAGCTCGTGCTGCAGCGGGGTCCTGCGCGGGTAGAAGGTGTGGTGCACGTCGTAGTGCAGCAGGCAGCTCAGGGACGCCATGTAGACGTCCGCGAAGCGCGACAGGCGCCGCAGGAAGTAGGTGGGGTTCTGGTCCGTGCGGAACAAGCTGCCAAACTGCGCGTTGAAGAAGTTTTTGGTCATTTCTCTGCAGCAGCAGGCAGAAAAAAGTGATAGGATGTTTTTAAGTTGTTAAGTTTTAGGGTAATTATGCTTTAACTTTTTATTAGTACGCATTTGAGTACAAATGATTGCACTCACCATGGGGAGAGGTACTTGTGCATAACAGGGTTTTTACACTTATTTACTTAGTTCATTAGGTTTTTTGAGATTGGGCCTCACTATGTAGTCCAGGCTGGCCTCAAACTCACTATGCAGTTCGGTTGGCCTCAAACTTGAAGTGATCCTCCTGCCTCATCCTCCTGAGTGCTGACAGCACAGGCATGCAGCATGATGCCCAGCAACACACAATTTTTAAAAGCTTGGTTTTCAACACTGAAATCAAAACCTCTTCCGAAACAGATTCATGTGAGAGAAGAATTAGCTCAAGCAGCCCTAATTTCTAATTAAGAAAACCGCCTGCTGCCCAGCTCTCAAAAATGACTCTGGTCACACCCTCCTTCACACCACGGGAACAGACTTGGCTTTGAGGCCCCCGATTCCACCCGAGCCCCTTTAAATGAGCACACACATTCTCCAAACCAAAACAGATGGCCAAGCTGCTGCAGATGTCAGAGACATAACAAAGTTCTCCACCTCTCCCTAAACCTCCCTTGACTACAGAATAGGACTAAAACCTCCTTTTCTTGGCCAAGTGTGGTGGCACATGCCCACAATCCAGTCATGTGGGAGGCTGAGGCAGGAAGACAGCTGGGAGTTCGAGGCCAGCCAGGAGTACCTAGCGAGAACCTGTCTCAAAAATAAAATAAAATAAAATAAAACCTCCTGCTCTTACCTCACCTCCTTCCTCTCCTTCTTCCACTCCTGCAGAACCAGCTGCGACTCCGGGTCCCTGTGAACCTGCAGGGAGAAGCCAAGCCTTAGACAGTGTGGGCTTCAGACCAGTGGGCAGCTTAGAAGGATTTCCCAGCAGGCACCTTCTCTTGGGCAGCTTCTCTTGGGCACACTTTATTCCTTTAGGCCTAGGAGGCAGCCCTTGAAGGAAATAGTCCACGTCACACCACCCCACTGAAGTCCTGCCTCCTCACCGAAACACTAAACACTTTAAATACCCATCATCAGGACCTGGTTTAACAAAATGAGATGGAATTTCGTGGGGCTATTAGACTATTATTAAGAGCTACATATCAACATAACACATCACACACATGCTACACACGTCACGTGTTCTCGTGACAGCAACTGCTGCACACTCTCACAGCAAGCATGTAAAACACGCCATGTTTGCAAACTAGATGCTACACGAGCCAACTTTTTATAAACGTGTACAAGGACAAAAGGGTTTTAACTTTTCCTCTAATGCTACATTATCTCTTCAACTGTCTCACAGAAAAGAACTACTCTTTGCAAGCGACAGGACAGCAGCTCATCACAGTGAAAGGGAAGCAGAGAATTTCCTGATGGGACCAGAAGGTGGGCAAAGAAAACAGGAAGCTACCCTCGCACACACAGGATCCATGACTGAGAGGGGCTCCCGCGACACAGGGCAGATGGGGCGTCCCGTGACTCACGGCCACAGGGTGACCTCGGAATGCAGAGGAAGCCACCAGCTGGGCAGCCACCTGCTCGCCACATGGTGCCGGCCTCTTCTGTTTAGTTATCACATCTGCCAGCTCCGCACTGTGACTGCTGACAGTCACCTGGCTTTGCCACAGGGACAAACACACTGTGCCCGAGTTTGAGGCATAGGGTCTGGCCCAGGGCCGGGGCTGCGTCGTCAGACTCAGCCATACCCCTGGGGGAGGTGCGAGCAGGATCTAGAGCGCGTCTGAGATCGGCTCTCACGTTTCAGACCAACAGATAATCACTGGAGTGCAGGCTCTCAGTCACACGGAATTCAGATCCTAAGAGAAGGAGGGGACCACAGGCATTTCTGTGTGTGTGTGTGTGTGTGTGTGTGTGTGTGAGAGACAGAGAGAGAGAGAGAGAGAGAGAGAGACAGAGAGATGCTGAACACACAGAGGACAGCACGGGGCACATGTGGGCAGCCTGGGACATAACACGGACACCGAGGCAGGTGGAGGTCCTGCAGCCCTGCCCTTGGCCGAGCCGCCCCCCAGATTCCAGGGTAGAAACCCTCAGGCCCAGTGAGGTGCAGGTAGGTGTTGGCCTCGGGAGACAACCACGTCTGTCCAGAGGGTGGGACCTGGAGCTCCAGCCCTCGCACACCCAGGACCACTGTGGGAAACACTGAGGCCCGAGCCCCGGGCTTCGATCTTGTCACAGCCGCCACGCGCATCCCCAGGACACTGCTGCAGGAGGACAGCTCTCCTGGGACAGCTGGGGATGGGCCGAGGACCCACTGAGCCCACTGGCTCTCTTCTCAGGAGCTCAGCGCTCCTGTCCGGGCCTGATCCCAGCCCGGCCTTCCCAGGAGCACGCAGCTGTGTTGCTCACCGGCCCTTAATCCGGAGGGCGGCCAGGGTCACTTGACAGGGCCTCTGAAGCCAAGGCTGCTGAGGGGAATGCAAGGTGGACGGGCCTCCGCTCCCAGGAGCCTCCTCCCTCACCTGCCCTCCCTCCAACCCCTCACAGGGACCCAGCCCGAGGGCACGGAGCAAAGCTCACCTCCTCCAGCCTCCTCCTCCTCGGGAGCTGAGCCTAACAGTCACCCTAACCCTCCTCAGAGCCCCCAATCATGCGCTCCCACCCACCACCCCATGTGGCCCCTGGCGACTTTCTGGGGCCCAAACGCCAAACCTGATCTCAGAGGACAAACTTCCCTCCTTGTGAGTAATGTGCTCCATGCTCTAAAAATAGCTCCACGGCGGGGTTGGAGGACAGAGAAACGCAGGACAGTGCAGGCGGACGCGGGACGGGTGGGCGGCGGGGACACGTGTGGTGTCTGTAAACCGTTAGCCGCGCTCCTCACACCGAGCATCCGGCCCACAGTGCCTCATATCCAGGCCACGGCCAGCCTGGCCCCTTCCACACGGCCCACCCTGCGGGCCCCCAGCCCTGGGATTCCAGAAGTCGCTCACGTGTCGGTCCGGCTTCCTCCTCTGGACAACAGGGTGGTGGCGACCTGAAAGGTCCGTAATTCTCACTTCCCGCTCCCGAGCCCAGGCCTGGGATCCTTCATCCTCCAAGTCACAGGGGCTTCTGCAGCACCCGCCTTCTTCACCACACACACCACTGACACCAAACTTTTCACAGGTCGGAGCAGAAAACCAAACTAGAGCAAAGCTGTTCCCAAAGGTAAAGCACAGAGGGTTATGTCTGTCTGCCCAGCTGCGGCCATCACTGAGAGCCTGAGATAGGGCAGGCAGAGCTGTCCCTTTCCCCAGGGGACTCCTGAACGGCGTCCCAAGCCCCACGAGCCATTTCCTGTACACACAGCTATGATAAAACCCAATTTATAAAGTAAGCACAGTGAGAGAGTAACAACAATGACATAGATCGAATATAGCAACGCACTGTAACAATGCAAGTCATTTAAGGCATTATTTCCAGGATTTTCATTTAATTTTCTGGCCCAGAGCTGACCACAGAGAACTAGAAGTTTGAAAGCACAACCAGGAACCCGAGCACAGGAAGCCTCTGCCTGCACCAGGGGCCTCTACACCCGCGAGCACAAAAGCCTGGCCTGCGCCTCCCAAGGCCTCGGTTCCAGTCCTACTCTGTCCTTTTTTGGTACCGGGGATTGAACTCGGGTCTTTGCACTTGTAAGGCAGGCGGCGGAACCACTGAGCTAAATCCCCAGCCAAAATCCTACTCTGTCCTTTGATGACCTCAGACGTGCTCCCAACTTCCCAAACCCATTTCCTCATTCTCTTTGGAACCCTGCACCACCTGCACGGGGCAGCTGTGGCCCTGAGAACAGCACGCATAGCGCAGGCTCCCGGCACACGGAGTTACGACGGGCGACGTGTGGTGCTGCTCAGCTCCTGGGCTATGCTGAGCCACAGTGCACGCCTGGTATTTTTAGAAAAACCATCTCACCTCACAGGCAAGCATAGTAAAAGACACCAAACAAGCTCTCAGCAGGGAAGAGCCAAGACGGGGCTCAGGCGGAGTGCACTGGGAGCCAGGCCGGGGACGTGCGGGGCCCCACATTCCCGCCCGGAATGCACAGTGAGGGACCTGACTGCTTGGTGCTGGCTGCCTGGGTGAGGCTGCCAGCTGGGGCAGCGGGGCAGTGCCCTGCCCGCTTCCAAAGCCGCTGGCAGGTACAGCATGGGCATCGGGCCATGGGCACAGGCTGCAGGGGTAGCAGCCAAGGGAGTGGTGTCCATGTCCCTTGTCTTAAAGGAGATGGCACTGGTGCTGGGTGGAAGCAGGGGACATTCGGACCAAGGAGGAAGTGGGTGCCAGGAGGGGAGGGGAGAGGTGCAGAGAGGTTACTGGGGCCACCAAGGGGCACCACCTCGGGCCAGGAGATGGCCGGCGAGAAGGACACCATGTCAAAAGCCCCCTCAGCCTGTCACGCACCGAAGAGTGACTGCCGCCATGCCTAGGACAGCACACAAGGTCCCGACCGTGCCTCGTGCCTTCCAGAAGCCCTGGTGCCTGAAGCGTTCACAGCACAGGCCCTTCGCTTACAGACGGGGAAACTGAGGCCCAGAAAAAGCTGTCCCACAGCAGGCTAACGCAGGACCAGGCCTGGGCCCCAACATGCCGCTGCCCACAGCGTGTGCCCTGACACACGGGGCACGGACACGGGGACCCCACCGCCACCAGCAGCAGCCAATGAATGACACTGCATCTTCCTAGGCCCCCCGAGACCCTCCGCGGGCTGCAGGGAGCACAGTGAAGTCCCTGAGGAATGACAGAACAGCCTCCGATGACCCCGCAGTCCCTGGAGGGCCACCCAGCCTCACGCTGCCCGACTCCGGCAGACAGGAAGCCTGCAAAACCAGCAAGCTGAACGCAGAGCAAGAGCAAGCCCGACCTGCATCTGCTCCAAGAGCCCGGTCAAGGTCTGCAGCCAGGCCATGGTCTGCACGTACTGCTCCGTGTTCATGATCTTCAGCTCCGACCGCAGCTCGGGGATGATGGCGCCCGTCCGCCAGCCGTGCTTCAGGGTCAGGTCCTGGGGACAAAGCCGGGCATCAGCACCGCCTGGACAGGGCAAGTCACTGCACTGCACTGCACTGCCCTTCCAGGGGCTGGATGGGGCTCGCTTAAATGAACTGTAATTGTAATGGTTAGTCATTAACCAAGCCCGCACGACGAATTACACACTTCATTAAAAGTAATTGGGCACGAGGCTCTGACCAAGTCACCCTAAGAGAGCGCTGCGTCTGAATCACAGCTCCTGTGGAAACACAGGCTTGGAAAAAACACAGGGTCTGGAATCATTAACCATGCTCTCAGAAAAAAACAAGGTCAGGAGTGTCGAGAGGTTCCCTGAACACTAGCAATGGCTCTCGTTCAGGAACACAGCTCATGTCAGGCATGGGGTGCATGCCCATGATCCCAGCACTCGGGAGGCTGAGGCAGGAGGATCACCTTGAGTTCAAGGCCAGCCTGGGCTGCATAGAAAGACACTGACTCAAAAAAAGTAAAAAAAAAAACAACCGGGTCTTACAGACCTCAGGGAGCCCCACTATGAGCTTGGCATTATGAGAGGCACAGAACCTCAGGCCTGGAATTTAACACAAGCAGACTCACCACATTTCTCATCCCAAATAACATGAGCCCACGATCTGACAGTGAGCGAGAATATCTGAGATGGGTTCTGTTTGGAAAATCTAAGGAATGCAGTCACCATGCCAAGGCCAGGTACTTGCTTACCCTGAGTGTATTTATCGAGCACTCTTTGGCCAGGACCCTTTCTAGATACGAAGATAAAGCAGTGAACAAGAGCAGCAAAAGACAAATTCCTGCTTTCACAGAAAACAAGTAAATACACAATGGCAGGTAGGGAGAAGCACAGGGACAGGGATCAAGCAGAAGAGGGGGAAGGAGGGGTGGGAGGAAGACCACAGTGTCACACAGGATACTTAGGAAGCACAGGCTGACAGAGGGGCATCAGAACAGAGATCTAGGGGAAGAAGAGGGAGTGAGTGCAAACGTGGGAGAAAAAAAGATCCTGGCTTAAAAAACAGCAAGTGCAAAGGCCCAGGGGCAGGAACAGCAGAAAGAAGGCAGAGGCAGGAAATAGCTTCAGAGCGGTAAGTAGGACAGAAGTTGACAGGACAGCTAGAGGACCCCAGGCTTGTTACACTGTAGGAGAAAAGGCAGCTCTGGGGCTTTAAGGAGAGAAATGCCTTCTGGCTCCCAAAGCTTTTCCTGCTGCCTTCACTGGTTAGATCTTCGAAACCTTTCATATTTCTCTACTTAGAATATAGGAGAACCTACAGCACACTATTCCCAACAGTCCCGAGGGGAGCAAGCTCTGGAAGGTGAAAACTGACTGGGGTCTCTTGGGACCTTCCACAGACTGATGATAAACTAGTAACAACTGAGCCCATTTTCCGTGTGCCTCGCCCAGCTCAAATTTGTCCCAACGGGAGCAGCCATGCGCTGTGACGCTGCCCTCAAGGACAGCAGTCAGGGAGCCGGGCAGCCTCCGCTGTCCCCAGACACTGCCCGACACTGGGCTTCTGGATCCAGAACACGTGAGGTGTGGCCTGGGACCACTGCCAAGGCCAGACTCAGTCCTGACAGAGCCGGGTGGACACGGATCCCAAGCCTCCAGGTGGACTAAGCCCGTGCCCCGCCCCACTGAGGACCACGAGCTTCCACCCTGTGCCTTCACGTCTCAGATGCACTGATGGAAGGAAAGGGAGAGGGAGCCACTGGAGCTGATGCCTGGCTCTCATTTCAGTAGGAACATTTTAAAATGCGGCCCACTCCAAGTTTCCATAAAAGCATAAGAACAACCTGGAACCAAAGACAAATCATTAGACACGGATGCTAAGTCATCTGCCCCAGACAAACGAGGGACAGGCTCCTCACCGCCAGGTCGCTGTAGATGTGGTCACCGAAGTACAGCACCTTGGAGCCTCTCCAGCCAGTGAGCTTCAAAAATTCATATAAATTGCCCTGTAATGAGGGAAATGCAGCCATTACATCAAATGACAGAAATGGTCCAAAATACCTACTTTTCAAAATGTCTAAAAAATTGCTTTTGCTTATCTGAAATACCAAAATAGAAGGATGAAAGCAAAGTCTTAGGACATCTTTTCGACTTGTCTTGTTTGTAATTTTTTTTGTGTTTTGTTTTTTGTTTTTGTTTTTGAGATAGGGTCTCACTGTGTACTCCAGGCTGGCCTTGAACTCATGCAAGCCAAGTACTCAGCCTCCCAAGTACTGGGATCACAGGCGTGTGTCACCACACCTGACTTCTAGTTACCTATTTGACAAATTATAAAAAGTCATGTTTTCATTTCGTTTTTAAACTCTGTTCAATTTTGAGCTAATTCAGACACGAGCATACTGGGAAGACCCTGGTGGAGCCTCAGTCTGACCATGGAGTTCTAAGCCCTGGACCACAGGGGCTCGGCCAGGCACCTGTGCTCGGGAAGCCTTGGTGACCACCAGCCCTGGCCATGGTGCTGACCGCCGGGGCACAGGAAGCAGAACAGGGAAAGTTACCTGCTTGTAAATCTGGCCTTTCTGCAACTTGTGGATTCTGTCCCAGAGCAAGACGCCCTTCTCATTCACCTTTCGGAAAGGTCTGGCAACAGAAATGGGAGACGTCAGCACACAGGGCGCACAGGGCGCCACCAACACCAGCTGGCTGCTTGCAGGTGGCAGCAGGCAGCTCCGAATGGGAACCTGGGACCCCGAACTCCACCGCCCACCGGCAGCTGTGCCGTCTTCTCCACTCCACCCCTGCCGGGGTCTCCGGCCACGCCTGCCCCGGCTCTGGGTGACTGGCTTCTCACCAAACACAGGCGAGCTGAGTCGGCTCCTGCTCAGGCGTCCGGCCCGAAGGCCCAGGCTCAGTCCCCGGCCCCACCAGGTGCACGGACAGGACAGAGAGCAGCCACAGCCCTGAGCAGCCCAGGGCCCCCAGGGGGGCTCACAGAGCTCGCGGCTGCTTGCGACCGCTAGGGTCCCTTCGCTGTCGGTCCCACCCACGCTCTTTCCTGTCTACACACGGTTTGGGGGCAGCCGCTCCTCCAGGACCACTGTGACCCTGAGAACTTCAGCCACAGCGATGGCTGCCCGGCCACCAACTTCGGGCAAGAGAGGCGCGGTGAAAGAGTTCCCCAGCCCGGGACGACGCGGGCGGTGCGGACAAGTCTTGGGGACTCACAGCCCCCACCACTGCCCCAAACCTCCCCAGTCCCCGCCAGGCTCCTGCGGCCGGAGACACTGGGCCTCGGGCCCGAGACTGCGAAGTCCAACAGAGCCCAGCCGCAGCCCGCAAGGCCCCAGCAAGGTGCTACTCAGAGCCACAGGGCTGGGTGCCGCCTGTGTTTCTGCTGTTTCTTTCTGTTTTCCATCATTCCACACCTGCAGTACGTGACGCTTACCTTCCCCACAGGAGCGGGCAGGGCACAGCCCCCCGAATTCCTCTGTTCCCCCCTGCGCCCCCTCCTCCCCCTCCATCTGAGACA